GAAGAGACTGAGGCCCAACCCTAAATAAAAGGGGTTAAATATGTCCCACCCTGACCTGGCTATCCCAATCTCTCAGAAACTAAGCAGGGTTGGCCCTGGTTAGTATTTGGATGAGAAACCACCAAGGAAGTTCATGGTCATGACGGTGAGGCAGGCAATGGCAAACCACCTCTGAACATCTCTTGCCTTGAGAACATAAGAGAAGCCAATATTGGATCAGGCCAATGGCCCATCCAGTCCAACACTCTGTCACACAGTGGCCAGAAATACCAGGGGCCATCAGGAAGTCCAGCAGTGGGGCCAGGATGGTGTCCCATCTCACTACTAACCAGGGCTGCTTAGCTTCCGAGATCTGACCAGGCTAGCCTGGGCCAGCCAAGTCAGTCTACCCTTACAGTGTGGTAAAAGGTAAAGGTAAAGGTTCCCTTGCTCGAAAGCCAGTCGAGTCCGACTCTAGGGTTGCGGGGCTCATCTCCGTTTCCAAGCCGAAGAGCCAGCGCTGTCCGAAGACATTTCCGTGGTCATGTGGCCGGCATGACTAAACACCAAGGCGCACGGAACGCTGTTACCTTCCCACCGAAGCGGTACCTATTTATCTACTTGCAATTTCTTGCTTTCGAACTGCTAGGTTGGCAGGAGCTGGAGCCAGACACGGGAGCTCACTCCGTCATGCGGCAACCCGGGTCTTGAACTGCTGAACTACTGACCTTCCACAGCCTGCAGTTCAGCGTCTTATAACTAGTAGTGTGTGAAACTACTCTCAACTTCAGCCCCACCCACAATATAATTCCGGCAGTGGCCAAACACCCCTTGAACACCCCATGAGGGGTGGCCATAAGTTGGCTGCAACTTGACAGGACTTTCCATCATCATCAAATGTGTCCCACCCGCTGCCTTCATTTGCTAGGCTTCGCCTGAAGCCCGTCACCTTCCACCTCTTTAGCCCAGCAAACTGTAACACTTCAGAAACAAAACACCGTGACCAAAATGAACAGTGCAGCATCGCGGTTTTCGGGAGTTGTTCTCGAACAGTATAAATATTTGCTTGCTTTGTAAACAACAGGGGTGGCACTTCGCCAAGTGAGAACCCAGTCCTTATCGACATGTTAGACATAACCATGATTATTTGGTTATGTTCTCCAGCTGTGTTCAAGGTCAACGTTTACAGTTAGGCCTCAACCAGCTCCTCAAAGTTACTGGGGCTTATAAATTAAGGACCACACATCTTCCGTTTGTCCGCAGTTTTGCTCCACAGGGACATTCCCCCACACTGAAATCTGCAACTTGTTAAGAACGGGGTGGGTGGGATTCTGTAGCGTAGTGGATCTGATGCGTTGACACAGGGAGTTCTCAGGTCAAATCTCATCCTAGACGTTCAACTACAGCCTGATCCTACGCACAGTTCAAGATGCCTAAACTCACTCATTTCATCAGGTTTAGGAAGGCCTAAATTTGCAATGGATCGCGGCAGTATTAATGAAACTACTCTCAACTTCAGCCCCACCTGCAATATGATGCCGGCATGGGCTACAGAGCTTTTCCAAGATTGGAGATAAGACAAGTGAATTGTCTGGAATGTTATCTATTCCCAACAGCCGGTGTGATGTAAAGTGAGCCAGCATGTTCCAGTGGTTCACATTTCAGACGAAGATCTGGAAGACCCAGGTTTGAATCACCGACTCTGTCATGCAAGCTTACTGGGTGACCTTGGGCCAGTCGAACACTCCCAGCCTAACCTACCTCTCAGGATTGTTGTGAGGATCAAACGGAGAATGAGGAAGTGTAAGCACTTTGTCTCTCCACTGGGGAGAAAAACGAGTATAGAGAAGCAATGCAGGAGTGCTTGTCAAGCTCCCACGTCTAACCCAACTCTACTTTTTGGCATCTGCTTGGGAAGAAACTCCACGCTGCTCTCCTCCTTCCCAACACAAAACACAAGCGCTTCACACTGGTTAACGGTAAACCAGTTTATATTTTAATCAGCATTTTTAGTATGCACGCATTAATAGCATAAACTGAGCAACAAGTCGTATTCTGTGGCCATTTCACCCAACAGAGAGAGGCAAATCCAGCCAGTGTGGTGTTGTGGTTACAACGTCAGATTAGGACTGGGGAGACCCGGGTTCAAATTCCCACTCATGCCATGGAAGCTTGCTAGGTGACCTTGGGCCAGTCACACTCCCTCAGCCTAACCTACTTCAGAGGGTTGTTGTGAAGATAAGAGGAGAGCGATGTAAGCTGCTTTAAGAACATAAGAACATAAGAGATGCCAATGTTGGATCAGGCCAAAGGCCCATCCAGTCCAACACTCTGTATCACACAGTGGCCAGAAATACCAGTGCCATCAGGAGGTCCACCAGTGGGGCCAGGACATTAGAAGCCCTCCCACTGTTGACCCTCCCCAAGCACCAAGATGACAGAGCATCACTTGCCCCAAGGCCCCTATCTATACCTTGTGGCTAATAGCCACTGATGGACCTCTGCTCCATATGCTTATCTAATTCCCTTTTGAAGCCGTCCATGCTTGTAGCCGCCACCACTTATGTGGCAGTGCTTTGGGTCCTCACTGGAAAGAAAGGTGGGATATAAATGAATGAAATGAATAAACTTGCCACCAAGCCTCCTCCCCTAACTCATCAATTCCCAGATTAGTAAATCCAGGGTTCAAATCTGCCACAATGGGCACTTGGAAGATCCTGGGCCAATCGTTCACTCCTACTCATCTCAACCTATCCTGCATGCTTGTTGAAAGAATAATACTGCAGTTGGAAGTTTGTTTGTTGCAATATATAAATGCCCTGTATTGTTGTCTTCTTCAAAAGGGATCCTTAGTTGTACGGCTGTAGAGGAACGCCTGCAAGGGAAGGAACAGGTAAGATCTCCACAAGAGGACTTGGCTCAGTTTTCAGCAGCCACGCAGGTGGGCTGTCCGCTTCATGCCCCACCCCTTTGCTCTTCTCTCCTGGCTCCTACGCCCGTTCCCTCAAGCCCCGGAGGAGGGAGAAATAGATATATATATATATACACAAGTCCTTTGAAAACCAAACTAAATCCGCCACCCTATAAAAATTAAGCTAGCTTTGCATGACTGATCTTGGCTGCAGGGCTGGGGTTTTCATATTACAAAGCACACGTCTCCCACTTATTGCAATCTGTGTGCGTGTGTAAAGTGCCTTCAAGTCGCAGCCAACTTAACTCCAACTGATCCAGAATGTGGCAGTGCAAGTCCTGACGGGAATGTCACGAACGGCACATATACATCCGATGCCGCACCAGCGACACGGGCTCCCAGTGGAATACTGAGTCAAGTTCAAGGTTCTGGGACTGACCTATAAGGCCTTGAACGGTCAGGGACTGACGTTATCTACGGGATGGCCTCCTCCATTATGTTCCCGGGAGAGCATTATACTTTTCAGACAACAACTTGCTGGTAGTTCCTGGCCCCAGCCTGGTGGAACTCTCTGACAAATACCATCAGGGCCCGGTGGGATCTTATGCAATCCTGCAGGGCCTGTAAGGCGGAGATGTTCCACCAGGCTTTTGGTTGAGGATAGCGACAGTTTCCATCTTGGCTGGCACCCTCTTTCCTTTCCTTCTGCTGTTTATATTTGTATGCCCTCTTCCCCACTGCCCACGAAGTAGCCTGCGGTCTGAATTTGGATTAATCGGTATTTGCCATCTGTCCTTTTTCTGAAATGTGTTATTAATGTCTTTAATTGATTTCATCTTGCTATGTTTTTACGGATACCATACATCACCCAGAGCCCTGCAACAGCAGGAGTAGGGTGATTAATAAATCCAATAAACAAACAAAATTATGGCAACCCAACAGGGTTTTCAAGGCATGAGAAGAGCAGAGGTGGTTTGCCATTGCTTGCCTCTGCAGAGCAACCCAGGGCTTCCTTGGCGGTCTCGCATCCAAGCAGAGGTCGATTCGGGGGGGGGGATCGCGGGGGATCGCAGTTCCCCCGGGTGAGGTGCGGGGGGCGGGGCACATGACAAAGCCCCCCCCCCGCTTCCGGCCCTCATTCAGCCAGGAGGAGGCAGGAGAAGAGGGAGGGTAAGTTGCTTCCTCCCCGCCTCTCCCCACCCCTGCCTGCCTGGGGCCAGGGAGGGCCTTGGCGGGGCTTCCTTGCACTCCCGCCGGCCTTGCAGGTCCACTGCCAGGCCCCTGATGTCAGGGGGTGTGGCATATGCTAATGAGTTATGCTAATGAGTTCCCTTAGCTCTTTTTCTACAAAACGACCCCTGCGATCCAAGCAATGCTCCCTCTAAGCTGTGGAGCCTTATGAGCAAATATTCTACTTTGTGAGCTACTGGCATTAAAGTTGTGAGCGAGCGATTTGGCTACTGCCTAAATTAGTTTGCTCTGGAGCCATCCCTTCCTGGGCTAAGACAAAAATCTGTGAGCTGGAGGCTAAAAAACTGAGCTAGCTCACGCTAACTCAGCTTAGAGGGAACACTGCATCCCAGTGCAAACCAGGACCGACCCAGCTTTGCCCTGAGATCGGACCAGCCTGAGCCACCCAGGTCACGGTGCAATGAGGGTAACTCGATGAAAGGCATCGTGGAGCATGGAGAGAGCCACTGCCTTTAAGAGCAAGGGTAAGCAAGAGGCCGGGGCGGGTGTCGGGAGGCGCGGCTTTTCCATGCAGCGGCTACACCTGCCGAAATTCCTTCGTACATACCCAGCTATTAAAAGGCTCGGAGACCTTTCCTTCTTGGCCCCCCGCCACCGCAACGCCGCTACGAGAAGCCCCCCTGGCCCTGACTTTTGCATAACGTGGGAGGAGCAACCCTAACCTCAAACTGTTCACTTCGGAGGCGGAGCACCTGATTTATGTCAGCCGGAACACAGAGAGAGAGAGAGAGAGATGGGCTTTGTGTCGATTGCGCAAGCACAAAGCAGTCTCCTTTAAAACAAAACAAAACACCGACACCACCAGTTTGCTCAAGTCCCGACGCGCGGCCGAAAGGGAAGAGACAAAAAGATCGCCTACCGTAGCTGCTCCCCGGTCAGCAGGACTTCAGCCATGTGCTCCAGCTCCGCGGCCCTCTGCTGCAAGGTGCCCAGGCTCCCGTCTTCCATCGCTGCCAACCTGGCCAGGGGCACACAACGCGAGAAGCCAGACCTTAACGGGGACAGAGTAGGCCCAGTTCCCTCCACCACCACCGCCACACGCCAAACCGTCAGGTCGCCACTGAGCAATAATCCCCCCTCCCCCAAATCCCTCTGCAGTGCACCCCGTCCCTGGCTTCAGTCCCCACACCCGCCTCCCGACTTCGATCTTGTCCTCCCCGCCCCCTGCTTTGCCCGAAAGCCCTGTCGATCCCTGGCTTCTTGCCCGCCTGCTCGAATCCCGCACAGTTTGCAGCCTGCGTGTCAGCGTCTTTCTTCTTCGGCTTCCCAAATTCTCCCCACTGGCTTCCCCGCCCATTCCTGCACGCGCGTCTGTCTCTTCCCCTGCACGCCCTGCGCTGAAGACCCTTTTGCAGCCCGTAAAATGCCCCCCACCCCCGAGCGATTTTTGCATTGAACAGCCTGGGTCGTATCTGGGCGCACAGGTCAAAAGGAGTCCAGTTTCTGCTCAGCACAGACGCGCACCAGTTATCGCCGGCGGGTCATGCCTTCAAATCGGTTGCTTCTGCAAAAACGACCGTCTCCACAACCCCTAAGGGGCCCCCTCCCCCCGCCCGGCTTTCACTCACCTGGATTGCGTGCCGTCGGAGAGAAAAAGATCTTGCAGAGAAAAGATCCCACCGCTGGCTGGCTGGCTGGCTTCCTTGTTGTTGTGCGTGTCACAGGCAGTCCGAGCGAGGCACGTGGTTGCAGCGAAACAGCGCGGCCAGCCAAGGCAGCAGCGTCCTCCTGCGTCTGGCGCGGCTAGAGGGGGACTGTTTGGGCTAAACCTGCCTTTTCGTGCCTATTCCCTGCAGCAGACTCTAGCTCGGTTCAAGGCATAATAACCCCACGGCGGGGTTGGTTTTTTTGGGGTTTTTTTTTGAGGACTGAAGAGCAAAGCAAGCAGCTGAGCTGGAGACAAGCGAAGAGGGAGGCGCTTCTGCAATTCAGGATACAGCTGCCTCCTCTTTCCTAGGGGACGCTCCAGCTGTTTCTCCCCACCTCACACACACACACATTCGCCTTTTCCCTCTTCTACACTGTATCCTTTTTGCTGTCCTTCCTCTACAATGGGGGAAAAAATGCCCCAAAGGGGTAATCACAGGGTTGCCAGCCTCCAGGTGGGGCCTGGAGATCTCCCACTTTTACAACTGATCTCCAGCTGACAGAGATCAGCTCCCCTGGAGAAAATGGCTGCTTCCAATGGTGGACTCTATGGTATTGTACCATGCTGGGGCCCCTTCCCTCCCCAAACCCCACCCGGTTTGGTGTCATGGTTAAGTGTAGGGACTCTAATCTGGGAGAACCGGGTTTGATTCCCCACTCCTCCACTTGCAGCTGCTGGATGACCTTGGGCAAGACCTTGGTATAGATAGGCACTCTCAGGCTGGGACAAGTGATGCTCTGTATTCTTGGTGCTTAGGGGGGGACAACAGTGGGAGGGCTTCTAGTGTCCTGGCCCCACTGCTGGACCTCCTGATGACACCTGGTATTTTTGGCCACTGTGTGACAGAGTGTTGGACTAGATGGGCCATTGGCCTGATCCCATATTGGCTTCACTTATGTTCTTGTGTCACAGTTCTGTCAGAGCTGTTATCTCACGAGCAGTTCTCAAAAGAGCTCTCTCAGCCCCACCTACCTCACAGGGTGTCTGTTGTGGGGAGGGAAAGGGAAAGGAGTTTGTAAACCACTCTGAGACTCCGAGTGAAGGGTGGGGTATAAATCCAGTCTCTTCTTCTCTCCTGGATCTACCCCCAAAGTCTCCAGGTATTTTCCAGTCCAGACCTGGCAACCCTAAGTAATTGACAGATAAAAGCAACGGTTCATTTCTTGGGTTTTAAATTGGTATGGGGGCTCAAGCCTCCCTGAAAGCCAAACCTCCTGACCTAGAATGCCATTCTCTCCAGCTCCAGATGAGTATGGGGTCTGCTAGGGTCACTTGGAGCTGAGGGGAAAGGGTCAGAGGGGGTCTCACAGTTATTACTGCCTCTCTCCCCCCCACACACACTCTGGTCTTGGTAATCAATCATCTATTCTAAAGACAGGAAATGTCGACTCTACACTTTCATTAGCACAGCTCTCGATCAGTTTGTGTGTGTGTGTGTAACTGCAGTCGTCTGGGTACTGCTTGCGTTTGAAACCATTCAGACTACTGTAGCATTCTAGTCTGAGGGAATAACTGACAAAATCTTTAAAAAATGGGAGAGGTGCTGAAAAGCTCTTTACGCATGGTATTTCATGCCACTTTCCTTGAGAGCGAGAAGTGGTTCACAAAATCAAGACGACACACAGAAAACACTTTAAAACCACCATTAGGTGGATAGCTGTGTTAATCTGCAGCAGCAGGATGAACTTCTGAGTCCAGCAGCAGCACCTTAAAGACCAACAAAATTCCCCAGGATATGAACTTCCGTGAATCAAAGATCATTTGGTCAGATAACAGATTTGAGTCTGGTAGCACCGAGAGACCAACAAGAATTTCTGGGTATGGGCTTTTGAGAGTCAAGCGCCCTTCGTCACATACAGTAAAGTAGAAATAGAGATCTTTGAGTCCTTTTATCCTAGCCAGTGGGGTGTGGTAAGGAAGAAGAAAGAGAGAAGAGATTGGATTTATACCCCGCCCTTCACTCGGAGTCTCAGAGCCGCTTACAAACTCCTTTCCCTTCCCCTCCCCACAACAGACACCCTGTGAGGTAGGTGGGGCTGAGAGAGCTCTGACAGAAACGGCTCTTTTCAAGCACAGCTCTGCCAGAACTATGGCTTGCCCAAGGTCATCCAGAAGCTGTGAGTGGAGGCGTGGGGAATCAAACCTGGTTCTTCCAGATTAGAGTCCGCGCACTTAACCACTACACCAAACTGGCTCTCTTGTAAAGGATGCAAAAGTACACTGAAATAATCAGCTTGAGTAGAACAGAGAGGAAATGGTTGGGGACAGAAAATTAGTATCTGTACTGGTCAGATAAGGAAGTCATAGTATCTGACCAAGTAAGCTTTGACTCACAAGGGGTTATAAGACTGGAAAAGGCTATTGCTCTTTAAGGCACTACTGGACTCGAATTTTGTTCTACTTTAAAAACAGAGCAACCATAAAACATTCTTGGTGTATGCACGTAACAGGCAATTTTTAATGTTTTTTAATCACAGGTCAGAATCAATAAACACGCAAGATGGATTTATAGCAGCGGTCTTCAACCTTCCCAGGAGCCACTGAGCATGAGATTCACTAAAGGTATAAGCACGTGACAGGAAATCACATGATTTCAGAATCATGTGTCAGGAAAAGGAAAAGCCAGAGTCATAACTCATCGACCAGTGCCAAGCCAGGAACATGATGAATTAAACAAGAAGGAAGAAGTCCTGGAGAAAACCAAAGGACTAGGGCAGAACCATGACCATCCAGAAACATGCAAATGGCAGGAATTATGAAATGAAAATCATCTATAATATATAAATCCCAAATGGAAAGATTTAAGGAAGCATGACCCAAAACTTAAGTGTAAATTTAACAAATCGATTTGCGATAGAGTAGTGGGCATTCACAATTTATATGAACATATACAATGAAATGACAAGATCCTAGGTAAAAGCTCATTTTCTTCTGATATCTTCAGACTGAATGAAGAATTAGGATCACGCCAATATAGCCACTAAGTGGAAGAAAACAGTAACTTCTTGATCAGGGGTGTCAAACTCATTTGTTATCTGACATAAATGAGACCTTGTTGGGCCGGGCCATGTGTGTCATAAAACGTAATGCCAGGTAGCGGAGACATAAACTTTATAAAGGATACAAACACAAAGGTTTTTTTTAAACTTAAAATAAAAACATGCTTAAAACATTAGCACTCTTGCAATATTTTGTTTATTTAACAGTGTCTGATAAGTGACACCTCTTGCTCTGAATTATTGCATCAAAATGTCTGTGCTGTTGCAATCTTGAGTATGCTGTTCAGGTGTGTATCTGTAAGCTGCAAATCTACGATGACACGGCAGCAGCAGAACTGGAAGAAGAAGCAGAAGACAGCCAGTTCCCGGATCAGGCCCCCAGGCTGCATGTTTGACACCCCCGTTCTTGATAGTCCCATGCACATGTGACAAAATCAAGAGAAGTCATAATAATACTAGAATGAGGGGAAGTTCTTTCACTGTAATCCAGAGCTTGGGACCAGGAAACACAAGTCAAGCATCACGTAGGGTCACCAGCTCCACACTGGGAAATTCCTGGAGATTTGGGGGTGGACCCTAGGCAGGGACCTCCGTAGAGTATAATGCCATAGAATCCACTCTCCAAAGCAGCCATTGTCTTCCATGGGAACCAATCTCTGTCATCAGGATATCAGCTGTAATTCTGGGAGTTCTCCAGGCCCCACACGGAGGCTGGCAACACTAAAGAGGTTGACTGTAGTGAGGAACAAGTCAAGTACAAAGACATGAAGGAATCTTCATCATCACTCCTCTTTGTGACCTTGCACTGCTGGAGCTGCTATCTCTTCTCAGCATGCATGCGAAGAAAGGCAGAAGGCACTCACAAGCTCTTATCAGCAGGTGCTTCCAGAAGGCAGCAAAAGAAGAAGAAGAAAAATAGTGAAAGCTCTGTACAAGCTCATGACCCAGCAGGTGGAGCTTTATGACCCCAATGAGGATCCCAACTCAAGGGCCACTGATTCATAGTCTCGGTTCACCCCACAAGTTATGTAGCGGGTGCCCATTCCTTGATGCAAGGGGCGCCTGGACAAAGCTAAGACTCATTGAGCATAATCGTGGTTTGTTGCCTCCTCCAGGTGGCAAGAAACGGGGTTGTATTGCCCCAGAAGCCCTTGGAAGGTTGCGGCTGCCTTTGGGCCAGTGGGGAGGGATGCCTGGAAGAGGTATTGTTGCACTCCATTGCCACCAGGCTCTTCTGCCTTTGGGAAATGGGACAGCAACTGGAGACACTGGGTCAGAGGTAAGCTATCTGCTGGGCCATTAACTTCAGCAGGTGCCTAACCGCATTGATCCTTGCCTGGGAAAGTTTAATATTTTCCCCTTGCTCCAATATATGTATCAGCCCTCTACAGCTAGTCTCTATCTGGATGTGTTCTTCCACTGGGAAAGGTATATTCTCACTGCAGATCCTGGGCCCCGGTCACACGGCAAAGTTGCCGCAGGAGAGGCACGGATGGTGGGCGGATTATCCGGGCGCAATCACACCCCAACATCTGGGAAGTGGAGCGCACCCGTGGCTTACCACCAACAATGCGAGTTAAAAAACTAGTACCTCCAAGGTACTAGTAAACGTTTGCCACGGGCTGCCTCCATACGCCTGTGGTGTGATTGCGCCGGCGCGCGGCATTCCCCTCCGGTCCCTCGTTTACCTGCTGGCACCGAGGGAAGGGACCCGTGGTGTGCTGCCGGCAAGTCTGATTGCGTAATCGCGGATCAAACTGCGCCGGGGCAATTAGCCATGCCTCCCCCCCCCCACGATATCTAGCCCATGTGACCGGGGCCCTGGAGAGGCATTAGCCAGGCTTTTAGTCTGCTTGTTTTAAATTGCCATATTTCAACTGGGACTTATATAAGTAGCCTTGAGCTGCAAGGCAGGATATGAATATTTCAATAATATAATTAAATAAAAGCACCTCCTGACAGGCAGGGAAATAGGTGTGGGATGAAAGGATTAACCTCCTCCCCTCATTTGGCCCTATGGGAAAGGGAAGAATGTAACCAGTGAGCTAAATCGGAGAACTTGGAGAGCTGTGATCCAATCAGATCCACCCCATTTCTTCAACTTTCCCTAAATTGCATCCATGTGTTGTACAAATATATT